AAAGGCTGTATGTTACATCATCAGTAGTAAAAAATAAATCATCACCAACTGATATTTAGGACTCTATGGAGAATCAAAGTCTACCTTCTGCTTTGTTTTGCAGTGAGTTTCACTGCACAAAAGCAATATGGTGCTGTATGTTATCATCTTCTGTTTGCCATCTCATTTTATATGAAAAGTGAGCTTTGTAAAATCAATATTGTAAGGGCACAGAACTATGCTCAGAAGTCATTACTACTTGCAGCAATTTTTCTTGATTAGTTAGGTTCATTATATTTGGAGAGATAGCTAAGTTTAAGGATTCAACAATGGTAATGGCTCACATTAAAATTAAACTTCTCATTAAAATTAATGTACATATATTTCAAATTAAAGCAATGGACTAGTAATAATATTTTAACATTTAACAAATGTATATCAAGTTAAAGGCCCGATTCCTAAGTTTGAATTCATTCAGTCCTCACAATAATCCCACTTAGAGATAAGAATATTATTGCCATTTAATAGATGAGGAAACTGACATTGAATGAAAACAGATGTTTAGTCAGTATCCACTGGGGTATTAAATGGCACTGACATTTAATGATAATGAATGTTCCCCTAAAGAATGCATGCCATTGTATAATAGGCCCTAAAATTCATATTGAATAATATGTAAAATATGCTGTAGTACCTTTGATTTTTATTATTTTGTTATTTTTAATTAGTATAAATGAAGTATCATATATACAGTTGTACTAAAATTTCTAAGTAACCCTTTAGTAAATGTAATTTCATTAATTCTCTTAATTTTTCTGATATATATACTATTATTGAGACGAAATTCATGTTTATAACATTACATTTAATCAAAATATTTGAAGAAAATTGCTTTAGATATTTGACCTTTGATCAAAACACAGATAAATAAAATCCCAAATGACCCACTTACAGAAAATATAGAACATTGAGTGGTGATTAATTTAATATTATTTCCAATGATACCCATTCTTTATTTAAAATTCATAATTATTTCATAGCATAAGTTTACAAAATATATGATCACACTCTTTATAATTCATTCAACTGAAGGTAAGAGGTTAAATACTCATGATTTTTTTTGTGTATGTGTGTGTTAATTAACCAAGGACAACTTTTTAGTTCAAACCCCCAAACAGAACATAATTTCACTATTATTTTGTATTCATGTGAACAACTGATTCTAAATAAAGTTGACAAGGTTGTTTATACTCTATTTTATCAGAGAACTACAGAAATTTTACTAATGAATTTTAAATACATTAATATACCAGGTTTACTATGCTTTAATACTGTCTCCTTAAGGATATACTCCACTGGGCTGGGGATGTGGCTCAAGTGGTAGCATGCTCGCCTGGCATACCCCCGGTGCTGGGTTCGATCCTCAGCACCACATAAAAATAAAGATGTTGTGTCCACCGAAAATTAAAAAAATAAATATTAAAAAATTCTCTCTCTCTCTTTAAAAAAAAAGATGTACTCCACTTTGTCCACTCTTTTATTTATCTTACATACATAAAATCTAAGAAGAAAGCGAAATATAAATATGAGTATGTATGTATGTATGTATGTAATATTTTAAAAGAAAGAGCATGTTTATGTGTTGCTTTGTAATCATTTCATATTTTACTTCTAGATTATAACATCCCCTTTAATGACACTAGTTTCCCTTTTCTCTGATTTCATTGAACAATGGCAAGTTTCTTTTACTTCTAGAAGATACATGTGTTTATTATAAATAATTAAATTTTAAAAGTGTATGAGACTTTTTAAGTAGAAATTTTCTTTCAGTTAATTTACTTAGTCATTGATTTCTCTCATTGCCACCAAAGTTAGAATTATAGTCTATTAAGAGATACTGGACAAGTTAAAGCCTTTAAGCTTGGGATTGGAAGAAATCCTGGAAGAAGTAAAAAGTGATTTTTGCATTAAATCAGAAGCTTCCCTTATAAGATTTTCAAGCCAACTAACTGGCTTTCCATCTGTTTTCTACCTGTTTTAGGAGATATTTGGATAAAGGCTAAGTAACCATTGACATACACTTAGAGAATGAAAGTATTCTTGTTTATATTATCAATGAATTCCACTCTGTGTTATTTAAATAAGTATTTTTTCCATAATTGAATGCCTTCATTAAACAAAATTCATGCAACGTAGAAGTGGTGTCTCAATAGAGCCGTTCCAGGACTGGATGAGAACATGGCCGCCTCAGACTTACATAGATTCTCCTGAGTTCAGGTGGCCCGACAGATCTGTGCCCCCTGTGAACTGGAAGATAAAAGGAGTCAGAGATAAGAGTAGTTCCAGAAGAAAACAAAATCAAACAAACAAACAAAAACCCCAATTTCCTCAGTCTATTGCCAGTCTTCTAATTATTTATACACTGTGAAACAAAAACTTTCACAAGTATCTGTTGGAAAGGTATCATAGCAAAATAAAGCTAAATGCCAAGATGCTGGAAATGATGGCAGTGATTTCTTCTTAGGATTAACCCTGTGACATATGCTTTATAGGCACTGTCTTATTTACTCCTCACATAATGATGTAATGTATTATTATCATCCTGAAATAGAGATGAGAAATCAAAGGTTATAAAGGCTAAATAACTTGCCTGAGGTCCCAGCAGTAGTAAATGGTCTGATGGGCTTCAGAGCCAGCTCCATCTGACTCCCCAATTCATTCTGCTCATCCTTATGCTTCTTTTAACATTAAGCCATGGCACTTGTGGCTCCTGCCTATGGAGAAACTGGCACGAATGAAGTTTGACTGAACCCAAAGTTTATAGTAGAAAGGCAAAGAATTCTCTCTCTTTAATGATGTGTAGATGCACATCATCAAAAGAATATTTGAAGTTCTGAACAATATAAAACCTTACACACACACACACACAGACACACACATACACACACAGCACTATACAACCATACAAATATAACATAGTCTTAGTTAAGGAAAATGACCACCAAATAAAGAGCATTTAACTGTAAACCATGAGTTTATGTTCTAATTTGGGAGACAATCATACAAGAAATTTTCTTTACACTTTAATGTATTCAATTTAGAGATCATGGATATATCCTATATATTATCATGTAAATGGGTGCATCCAGTTATTCACATCTTTCTGGAAATTTAGCCATTTCTAGATATGCATTAGAAGACACTCTGTTTTCTAAAGCAAATACTTTCTTTTTTCTGTTGTAATTTTAGGATGTTTTTACCTAGGATCTATTTTTTTTAAAAATTTCACAATCCCAATTCTAGGTTTTGGTCTTATAAAAATACAATACACACATGTGTATATATATCCACACATGTGTATATATACAGTTTGGATAGATACAGATATGTATGGCTGTCTCTTACAACTTATATGTAATAAAGGCATATTTAAACAAATTAGATGTTTTTCAACAGGAGATTGTTTAACGTATCATGTAATATCAAAAATAGTGAAATCAATATATGTGAATGGGATTTCGAAGAACCATTAAAATATTATTACATAAAAAATTGAAATTGCAAGATGATACTATATGTACAATTTGAGTCATATCCAGTTAAAAATTCCATTGTGTGTGGGGGAAGGGGGTGATCTGGGTGTATGTTTACATACTGTGCTATAGAATGGTAAGTTATGGTGTAGACATACCAATTCTAGAACTCTTTATGCCGAATTATTCACAAGTGGACAGGGGCTTCAAGTTGTAGGAAAACTTTCACTTTTAAGTTCTATACATCTGAGTTATTTATTTCTTGCAAAATTATCTATTATAAATTTAAAAAAATAGTTTGCATAATTTGCTTGGCACTCCTTGTTCATGAATATGACAACTCATCTTTTCAGTACAATTTGTCTTAGCTTTAGGCATAAAGTCACAGAGTTTATGGTCTGTCTTACATTCTTTTGCCCCTCTGCCTTTCCATATTTTATACTCTCTGTGGAGAATCCCTTACCTTCACTTCTCATGGTCGGGTTCCATTATGTTCCCAGATCTAATTCCAGTGCTTCTATTAACATTTTATGTGTATATTTCTTATTTATTTTCCCTCTTCCATTCTCATTTCAGATTTTTCATTTTTGTTACATCACATCCTGGTCTGCCTTGTACTAAACTAAAATATCCATATGAGCCATGCATGAAATTGAAATATCTTCATGCTTATTTCTTTCTTCTATGGTTATGTTATCATTATATTGCATTAATAGGTAAAAATTAGTAACAATTATTTTTGTGAAATGTTTGAACAGTTTCAGCTTTTCCTTATATTCTGATCTGTTGCTGAAGAGTCACCTCCAATCTATGTCAAATTGCCAGCCTTGTGGCTTGCAATCTGCTTCTCAGTTCTATATTGTAATTTATGTATTATAACTACATTGGCTGCCTATGTTCTCTAATATAAACACATTTCAAGAGGCTTAAATGAGAGATGACAGTCCAAACAAAGTATCTTAGACAGGAAGGCATTTGTAATTATTTTATAAAACGATGCCAAAATATTGTCATATACAGTATCTCATATGACAAATTCAATAAAGTCTCAGAGAAAAACACAAAACTTTATAAAGTTCCTGTGTAAATCAGTCCAGGTGGCTTCCTTTTACATTGACAGGCAGGATTATTTTCAAAAAAAATAGGAGAAGGAGAGAGAGAGAGAGAGAGAGAGAGAGAGAGAGAAACCCAAACTGATCTGCTATAGAAGTTTCCTCAGTAGTCATCCAGGAAGGGGAGTTTTGCTCTGTCACAAGTGACTAGTCCCTGATTTTGAAAGCGTGAATCATCCTCCTTTGAAACAAGAGATAAGTGGGGGAAAGAACTGTTTCAAAATTATTTTACAACTATTTCCTTTTGAGCTATGACTTCTTAAACTGGAATGTGATCCAGAATAGCTTCCCTTTGGATCCACCATTTGTCTTAAGAATTTTTATTGTCTCTCTTTTCCCTCTCCCATCTCACTTCTTCCCTCCCTCTGTTCATCAGATTTACACTGACTGGGCCAACCACTACCTAGCAAAATCAGGCCACAAGCGGCTGATCAAGGATTTGCAACAGGACATCGCAGATGGAGTACTGCTAGCAGAAATCATCCAGATCATTGGTAAGACCTGCCCTCTGAGAGGAAGCATGAGAGTCTCTGCTCTCAACCCCTTTGGTAAATTACAGTTTAAGTAGAATGCATAGCGAATTGTTCCATGTGTCTTGGAGATGAATGTGGCTCTCCCCTGATTTAATTAAACATGTTTATGTGAGGATGTTTGAGAAGGACGGTTTGGCCATACTTTTCAATAGCTAGAATTGTATCTTTACATACACGGAATTGTCAGAAATGAATGCTTCATTAAGCCATATGTCTCCCATGTGTGCATTTCTTTAGCGGGAGCAACTCATACACTCTGAGATTCCTTGAAACTGTATCTTGATCCAGCAGGGACAATTGTGAAAGGTTTCATGTCAGCAGTCATTTGGCACAAGTGAAAGAATTAGCAGCAACTTCCTTCTCACTCATTTTTTTTTCCCCTTGATTTGTGCATGTGGAATTGGTGGCTGCTAACAAGTGTGTCCTATTGTACTTGGCTTGGGAGATCGAGTAAATTTAGCAGCAACATTTTTGCTTATTTCTTTTTAAATCTCTTTTTTTTTCTGTTTTACTTCATTGCTTAAGCATGGTGTCCTTTTTTCTCTCTTTCATTTTATTTCTTGGCTTTAGCAAATGAAAAAGTTGAAGATATCAATGGATGTCCTAGAAGTCAGTCTCAGATGGTAAGAATCATGTTTATTCTCAATATATAATGCTTATCATCATTTCCAGAATTAACTACATTTGTAAATGGGTTAGAAATTTCTTGGCATGCCCTCCTGCTTGTTTAAGAAACCATTTGATCACACTCTGTCATATGCATGAGAGTCTCTGGATTTCTATGGATACAGTTTATGCATATGATAACATGAGTACAATTAAATAACTCGGAATCCTGTATGACATATTTCCAGGTGTTTTTAGATCCTTGACTTTTGTCATTCTGATGTTCTGGATAATTTAATTCTGGTCTCTGTTCTTTATGGTTTTAAATTTCAGTTCCAGTTTTAAGTGTTACCTTTTTATCTCAACAACTATTTGTGAGAACAGTATTTGCCATGTGCATTTTAAAAATATATGAATAGTATTTATTTTGTTCATAAAGAAATCCAATGAAGCACATGGGCTGTTTGACACTATCTGAAATATTTCTGAAGCCATTGCTGTTGTAAGTTTGCTGAGCAGTGACTGGTTTTGAAATGTGATTCACAGCGTGTTCCAGAAAGCCCTCAAACTGGAGGTCTGTCTCTCCCCCAGCTATCTCTTATTTTCACCACCTAGTAAAGTTTCAAGTTTTATAATAAAATCATAGACTGATAAACTGCTGGGATAAAAATCACTTTTATAATTAAATAGCCACAACTTAATTTTATAGGACAACCTAAAACACAAATGCCTTAAGTGAAGTTTTATCATGTAGATATAATCATGAATGATAGCCACACTCCACAAGATGAGGCTTCTTTTTAGCACAGAATAGACACTTAGAATGAACTTAATAAATTCTTAATTGTCAGATACTTGGAAGAATGAAAAAAAAAACTTGTGAACTTTTAAAATCTGCTGACCTGCATTACTTAATGTCAGAAAACTGAAATCCAAAATAATAAAAGGGATTTATTTTTAAGGAATGAGTAATTAGCTTGTCTCTTTCTCTCAAAGAAGCACTCCAAAGACCTATAAAGATGTCATGAAATCTCTCTCGCTGTTATGAAACCATCACTATAAAAGAAAGGTTCTCAATAAAATATTTCAGTTTTAAGGAAATTTCCTGATCCGATTACTCTGGTCACAAACATAACTCTGAAAATTAATTGAAGTTGTTTTCTAAAGTTTTACTGAGAGCAAGCCGAGATAGAATATATTCAGACCCTACTAACTCATAGCTATGTTATGTTGGAAAAACATGTAACCTCTTTGAACCTTGACTTTCTCATCTGCAAAATAAGCTTTAATTAGAATGTGGTAATAAAATATGTATATTAACATTATTATTAATTAAGCTGAAAAAATGCAGAGTAGCATTGCCATAAACTTTATAAAGAGAACATGCATTGATTGACACCTGTTAAAATATTTTTAGGGCTTTATATTGAAAAGCTCTATAGTCCCAGAAAATCATATATTGTTTTTTAATCCTAACATTCATTGGTTTTGCTTTTAATATTCAAACCAAAAGACGAGTTCCATACTACAAGATATTTAAATCTAGTGACTCTTACCTACTCTGCTGTCATTCCCATTTGATTCTGAATAGAGAGAATCCAATAATTGAGTAAGTTTGTACTCTATGACAGAAAAAAAATCAGACTCAAAAGCTGGTGATTATAGATATAGTCCTTAGATATTTGTCTGAAGCATCTATAGCTAGAGAGTCAACAAATATGTGAAAGTATTTTCATTAGTATAAGACTTTGTGAAATTTTTATATTTTTTTACTCCTTGTTAGCTCTAACATACCACGTAATTTCTAGGATGCATCCTATCTTAATAGTCAAGCTTAAAAAAGAAATAGAAAAAGAAAGACCAAAGTCTGAGATATTGCAAATGCTATGAAAAAAGTGTTTTTTTTCCCCAGACAAAATTTATTAGTCAGAATCACATTAAATTTTGAATAAGAATGACTCGAATCTTCCTTTTCTTCTTATGTTTGAATTTTGAATCTGAAATTGGCATAGCCACAGTGTGTTGGTTCAGAATATAAAAGAAACAAATGCAACTTTTTGATTGAAGTATTTTTTTCTTCTGTTCTTCAGAATTTGCAGTGGTACTATATTATTAATGAATGGAATTGCTCCACTGTGAGGGAGACAAGAAAGTAAAGAGAATTATGGTAGCATGACTAGGCTTATGAATTTCATTTCTACTCCAAACAGGATGTTGACTTTTATTGCACAACATCAGGAGGTTCTGCATTAGTAACAATGAGTTCTGTCCTTGTTCATACACCTACTTTTATCATATCTTCTTCTTTTTGTGACATTGATTGCTCTTTGTGTTTAATAACAAAAAGTAAGGTAAAACTAAGTCACTGTATTTGGTAGTCATAGATTGTCTTTAAGTTTCAAACTTGATGATATTTAATGAATCATTTTAATCTTTGATTAATATGTTTTCTTGTGAGGCATGAATGTATATTACATTAACGAATTCTCCTAACAGTTAACTAAATCACACTTAGCTAAAGTTTATCCAGCACCTAAAGTACTACGTATAGGGACACTTGAAAGAACTACATATGAAGATCAGAGGTGCAGTCTAGATAATAACAGTACTACAGTTTCACAGGCAAGAAAAAGACTGAGCAGAGAGTGAACTTAGTGTGTTCCAGATGCAGGCAGATAGATGCCCTGTGGTTTGAGTATAGTCAGAGCTGTTTGAAGGGGAGGATGAAAGCATGATGATGTTGGGCCCAAATAAGGAGTTTGCATGGTGTTCTAACTTAGTTGAGTAACCTGGAAGATTTTTGAAGCTGGGCTGTGGCATCATTTGATAAAATATATATTTTTAAATCACCCTATTCTTTCTGGGAATTTTCTGCCAAAGGGATGTGGAGGATCATCCACTTGTTTTTAAACAGGGAGTTTTAAAAGGCCCCCAAATGTTGTGGTATAAATGAGTAAGTAATTACTATTAAGTAAGGTCAGTATTGTTGTTGGAGAAAACAGCCTAAAATGTGAAGGGAGGAAGATGATACATTAATATTTTGACATGGAGAGTAAGTAGGAGGTGATTTTAGGCAATTAGACATATGTTTCTAAATGTCAGAGAAAAGCTTTGGTTGAACTCTACTGAGTACATAGTTAATAGTTAAAGCCATGGGCAAGGATGAGACCTTGCAGGAAGTCTGTGTGAAGTCAACAGTGAAAAAAGCTAAGGGTCTTATAATGAGGATAGCAACATTTATGTGGCAGACAGATATGTAGGAATCAGGAGGGAGAAAGAGCCAGAAGAATGTGAGACCATCATTAAGCAAGTGGATCACAGACATGTGTTGTTAATCCTTCGAGTAAATACAACAGTTGCAGCTATGGTACTTGCACTAGCCCAGAGAGGTAGAAAGAAGTGAGATGAGCTAAACATGACAGATGCTGTCAAATCCTACCTAGCCATATACTTGGTATGCTGGAATGAGAAAGTTAGTATTGGTAATTGTACAGGCACGGGTGATGTGAATGTGAGAATGTGATGATCTTTCTGTAGAGTGATAGTGTGTTAACAAGTAAATAAGAGATTCAGATATCTATAGAGTTATAAATAATTTTTCTAGGAGTGCCCTGTTGAAGAGAAGAAAAATTATATATAGTTCAAGAGAAAGGCTGTGTTGAGGGTAGTTTTTTATAAGGAAGGAAGGAAGCAAGAAGAAAGCAGTAAACAGGCAGATTGGGTCCAGGGGAGTGGGGTGATAAGTGATGATGTGAAATCCTAAAGGAAATCATGGAGGAGGAAATTTCAAAGTCCACATAGGAGATCCACTATCAGGAAAGAATGGGGAGACATATACCTTTGTGATGTGTCATGAGGGAATATGATTAGGTTAAGATGTGGGTATTTGAAGTAGATTAAACAGAAATTGAAGGAGTTAAAATCAATGTGTAATGACTTCAGAATAGATACTACTAATGTATGCTCTATGTTTTTCTCTAATGGTGTCATTATAATAAAGAAAATTCAACAAGTATATTATTATATATAGTACCTAATATTAAATAAATTTACACATATATACATATATCTTACTCTTTCAAATAACATGATATAAAAGTCACATATTTAAGAAAAATATGAATTTTTACCAACTTATTATTAGTATTATTTTTATTCAATGAATCCCAGTGTCAAAGTCATGGTTATTATTTTTTTTTCTAATGATAAACTCCTACAAACTAAGTGCTGTTATTTTAAAAAAAAATAGCACTTACTTTGTAGGAGCTTATCAAACGCTATATTTACCCTTATTTGAAGATGAAGCTGCTAATACAGATGACACCTGTTGAGTAATTTCTAGGTGGGTGGTATCAGGATTCAAAATATATGCTGCATGCCATAACTTTGATGCACTTAGATGAGGAAATAAATTAGTAAACTATTAATACCAGGAATGTCTGGAATGGCCTGCAGATTAAAAATAGAGAAAAAAATGCCCAACATTTATTTGAAATGCAGAGGCACAAGTGCAAGATTCTTAGACAAAAATGTTAGACATGTAAGAGAAAGGTTGTTTTGAAAACAAGTTTTTATTTATTTTAAAATAGACCATTATATTTAAGGACCCATACAAATGTGCAGGGGAATTAGGACATTCGATTGTGTGAAATGAAATGGTTGTGTGAAATGGTTGCAAAGACTTAGATTAAACCGAACAACTAAGGATCTAGCAAAGGCACTGGCTCACAGCTTGCCCTTCCTTTGTCTTCACCCTAGTAGCCCAAGTGTTTATCAGCCATGACCTTCCACCTTATTTTTGATCATGTCATATATGTTATTGTATGAAATTTGCTGATTGTGAGGATCTTTGGAACAGCCATTCATCATACTCTTTTCATTCTTAGAAGAGAGAAAAGTACATTCCAGTCTTCCCTCCCTGTCTCATTTTGTGTACCACAGGATTATGGCTTCAGAATAAATACTGTTACAGGTTTTACAGACATCTTTATTCCATTTCTATAGTTAGGATTATCTG